GATAAATAATCCATTTGATAAGATGTTTGTTTTTTATTTTTATTTTGTTGAAAAAATGGGTAATTTTCACTGCGATCCTGTGGAGGATTTGGTTGAAAATTTTTGGAATTATATTGGGCCGTTGGGTTATCCCAGTTTCGAGGTTTTGTATATTGATTAAAATTTCTTTGTGGTTGATAATTTGTTTTTGACGGATGTGTATAATTATAATTATGGTCTGCAAAGTTGTTTCTAGTGAATGTTTTGCGTGTTTTTGATGGTATTGTCATGGGTCTATATGTTTGGTAATCCATATGTGAATATTTTGGAGCAACCGAAGGTTTAACGGTTGATTGTAAGGTTACTTGTGTTTGTGAAAGATTTGTATTTCTTGGTGTTGTTAAATTCGGGCGTATTGGTGAAATACTTTGTTGTGTAGTTGTTGTGTGTACAATTTCTTCATTTATGAAGTGTGATGGTGTCTGTATATCTTGTTGAGTAAGATTCCTAGTTCCATTGAGGTTTTCGTTGTGTATGACTGTAGAGTTTAAACTATTATTTTGTGTATCGGGTAAAAATGTATTATAGTTTAATGGTGTTGCATCAGTTGTTAATGGTATTACTCTTACATAATCTCTTATGTAAGATATTGTACCTATTGCTTGACTTGAGATTGATTGTGGAAAGCTTATAAATGCGGGATGAGACCATTCGGGGTCCCAAACATAATCTGATTGTTCTGTGATAGCGGTATCATCGTTCGAATTTTGGGGTCTAAAATTTTTTCTTGCTTGTGCAATTAAATCAATATTGTGTGTGAAATAATCTATTATGAACCATGCCAAAATTTTTTGTAGATCGTGTTTTGTATGTTGTGAAACGTCGTCTTTCGTGAAATTTTCTTTAATGATGTTTAAATAACTAGAGAGTAGTGTGATTTCATGTCGTACTCTTAAATGTTTAGATGTTTCTGTCGGTGAGACATTTGTTAATGGGAGTTCATTTTCTAATATCGAAATATAGCTATATATTATTGCGAAAACTTCATTGGTGAATATGGAGTTTGCTCTTTGTGAGTTATGATATTGGATGCTTTTTATATATTCTGAAAAAACTTTTGAAAATTCTAAATCAAGGTCGTCTGTTTGAATTGTATATTTTCTATTATTATGGTTTGGTGAGGTAAATTCTATGGAGTAGATTCCATACTGTTGTGTTATGTTGCATATATCTTTTAGATAGTGATCTATGATTTGTCTTTTGATTTTTACATCGGGGAACTCTGTTTTACATGGACTGATTCCGGGTTCAAATAAATTTACGAGTAAATTTTGACAAAATATGTGTTGTCCTCTATCAGTATCTGCGTCTACTATAAAAGGAAAGATTTCATCATCATCTGGACTTTCTTCACCTGGAGTGTGCGTTGAGCTCATTTTTTCGTTCGATGACTGTTAATATGTAATTATTAATGTGTCGAATTGGTTGATTCCAATTGTATAAATGTACTGGTTTGTGTTTATACTGCTTTTTTATTCTTCTTTTTCCTCTTTTTGATGAATTTGAAGTTGTTTCTGAGTCAGAAAAATATAATTGATCGTGAAGTGGGTAATTTTTATCTATTGATTCTTTTAGTTTGTAAAGTTCGTCTAAACTGTTGGTTTCTGATTCTGAAAATGCGTTTCGATTTTTTGAAAATCTTTTTCGTGTTATTTGTCTTTGTTTAGTTATTATTTTCCTCTTTAGTGTTTGTCGTTTTGTGCGAATGTATCCAACTGTTTGTGTATGAGGTGTGATTACAAGGTCGTATTTTTTGTTATCTATTTCACAATTGTGTAAAACGATTGTTTGTTTATTTCCTAGGTTTTTAAATGACATAAGGTTTAGAATGACGGATGCAAAGGGTTGTTAAATGATTTCTATTTTCCTAAACTGTTATTTCTTACGATTTTTTGGTTAGCTTAACCTGGGTCTGTTTGTTCAGGGTTGGAGAGAAAAGTATATCGATTCCGAAGAATGATTTTTTACTTTCTCGTGGCTAGTATAAGTTAAGGTGTTAACTTACTTAATCTTACTTAGGGGTAGTGATTGTGTTCAAGGGTTGGAGAATAGTAAATCGATCCACAAGGTTCAGGTATAATTAGAACGCGAGTAGTTCGTTAGATACTATTTTAAACTTACTAAGTCTAAGATTTATCCTGGGTCTGGTAAGAGGGGGGGTCAAGTGAAGGATGAATAACCGAAGTTCTTCACTATTTATCCTAATTTGAATGATTAGTTTTGTTTAAAAATTTCTATTAGTCTTAGGTCTTTAGAAAGGGTTGGATAGTGAATCGACGTTTGAGGTCGTTAGACACTAATTAAGTGGGTGGGGGAGAACAAAGTTGTTCTGTTTGATCCAAGGATAAGCCTTGTTGATCAAATTTGAAATTTAATTAAGTAGAAAATGATTTAAGATCCAAGGATAAGCCTTGATGATCTGATTTTAAATTAAGTGACTTTAAGTTTTAATAAATTTTTAAATTTGTGTAAAGGAAAGATTTAGTGTTTTATGATGTTAGTGAGTTGATGATTGCTGTTATGTTTTAGATGATGAAGCTGGAACAACAGGATGATTTATGATTAGTAACCATTTATTGTCATGCTACTAATTTTTATTTTTATTTTCCAATAAATATTTTTCAAACATGTTTTGTATAATACTGCAGAGTTTTAGGAGAACGATCTTAGATCTTTTTATCAATCGTTATTGTATAATATTAATTTTGTTTAGCGCCTGAAATGATTTTGAAGAGTAACTTCAAGGTTTTATGTTTGCAAATGGAAATCTAAATTCATTGCAAGTAGTATTCGAAATATAAAAGTTTGTTCTGGCTTTTGCCGAACTATCATATAACTATACGGCAAGTTTCTACTTTGTCGTATGTCGTCTTTGGTTCGAGGTCTTCTTCCAATTCCGGGTAGTTCTGTTATGGTTCGGAATATTGGCTCTGATCTATTGAGTCGGAGAGACATTTCAATTAAATTATTGTCGTATAACATTTTGTAAATGTTTTTGTCTAATTTCTAATCTATTTTGGTTAATTCTAATCTAGTAAGGTCTTGTTCGAGACTTATGGTCGCACCAGATGAGTTAGGACTGGTATGTATAACTCATAGAGTAATTTCGGATAGGGTACACCGTCTGCTCGTCACGCTATCTTATTTTCGGCCGGATAGATTCGTGCAACTTCTTAGTCTAATACCGATCCTAATCTTACTCTTATACTATCTAGTCTCAGGTTGTTTAACTAGTCTCTGCTAGGCTCAATAGATCTAGGGTATACTGGTTTATTGCGGCTGCTGAAGTGCTCGGGAGAGTCCAACTAATTTCTAAGTTAAATTCAAATCTCTCTGGTGCTGAAATTACAAGTAACTTCAGCACTTACAAATAAGTGGGTTGTTAGTTAGATGGATCATGATTGGTTAATATTAAATACTTTACATTGGTAAAACATTTAATTTATCCAATCATAAAATGTAGTTTAGATCAGGTTCCACCATGCAATTTTTCGATGGTTGAAATCATTTTTTTGCTTTATATGTTTCGCTTTATATGTTAGTGTCTGCACTGAATCACTGCAGCCAAAAATATTCTCAAATGAGAAAACCAATTGTAGATTAAATTGCGTATTGAGACATGAAAAGTAAATTCAGTTTTTTAATTTCTCATACTAATCAAGCAAAAAATGCGGGTTTTTGAATCGGGCTGTGAGACATATATTTCAAAAAACTCTGTGTTTGAAAATCGTGGCCTGCATTTCAATCAGATATATTATTCTGCTATCATCTAAAATCGAAAAATAAAAATCACAAAAAAACATTCATTGAGATTTTTGGTTCTTCTGTGTAAAAACATTGTGTCTGGACAAAAAATGAAAGTTTTTGTTTGTTAAATTTTTTTTTACTGATTATAAAAATGGTTTAGCCACTAAAATAAGCAATAAAATTTGTTTCCTTAATGTGGGAAGTTTGGTATGAAAAAAAAGTTTCTTGCATTTTTCATACAAGAAAATTGTAATATAAGCATTTTTGCCAAGCAAAGTAAACGCATTAACTGACAATTGAAAGTACTCTCATTTAGCAAGAAATGGTAACAACTTCATTCAAATTTACCTCAAATAAATTTAAAGGGTTTTGTAAGGAAAAATATCTGGTCACACATGATCGAATTGTATGATAAGTACTTTTTTTGTACGGATGCCACTTTGGATAGAAAGACAACCTAGTGCTGAAGTGGAGAAACTGGAAAAAACGAATCGAATAAGCCTACGCTGGACAATGAAAGAATATGAAATTTTGCGCGCAATAGTTATATCTCACAAGCCTAATTTCAATCTCTTTAAAATTAGTCGATATAAAAAAGTATTGTTTATGGAGCTCAAGGCATTAGTTCATTTCAGAAAATAATTTAAAAAACTCCGTCAATCTTTACCGATTACAAATAACTCTAGCCACGGGCATGCGGAGAAATTTTTCTAGAGGGAGGCCGCTTTTCGAATCTTTTTGTTAGGTCGACCGATTTGATTTCCTGAGCTCTCAGAAAAAATTAAGGAGCCTATTTGGTCAAAAAAATTCTGCGCGGTGGCAAATGTTTGAAAAAAACAGGCCATTAGACGCGTTTTTTAAAAACAGGCCAACAGGCGTTTCTAGGCATTTTTTGGAAAATTTTTGACCAAAAAATTGCGTTTTTTTTTCGGCGTGCTCTCCCCCTCAAGTTTTGTTATATTGGCGCCGAAGTCCTCTTTAGAAAGTTTCTGCGGTCAGTTAGCCAAAAATGATTGTCGTAAAGTTATACCAAAGGAGGTTACCAAAAATGGCTACCAGAATTGAGGAGGGGGGTCGCCAGCTCCCTCGTTTCCTTCGCCCCTCCCCCTTGGCACGCCACTGACACTAGCCCTTCTTTGAAAGCAGGAAACAGAATAAATTGACAAACGCGAGTTAATTCCGCCTAGACATCTAACGAATTGTTTTAATTTCAGCAATCAACATGACGACCTCGAAACAGTTTACCAGTTCGGCAAAAATACAAACAGAAACAGTTGAGCCAACTTCCGATGAAGGTTAGAAGTTTTTCAGTTCAAATCAAAGATCATATAAGCTGTTATTTAGGTAAAATTAATATCGAATAAAGAATCTTTAATTTTTCTGAAAGTTTTATATAAATAAAAAATTTCTATTGAAGCAAATAATTAGAACCAGCTGGATAAAACTAGAACTGTTTAATCCAAGAGGATTTCTGATAATCAACATAACATTACGAATCGAAACTGTGCAGTTTTTGAATTGTAAAAGGATTCTGCAGCAGGCCAAAAGCAAGTTTGTCATGGAATCCAAAACAATTTTATTTTTTCTAAATCTTCTCTGCGGTTTTGGATTCCACAAACAAATAGTTTAAACACTGTACCGCTCAACATTATTCATTATTTCGAAAAATAAAAATTTTGTGGAATCCGCAACAGTGTTTGCGGAATTCGGATCAGTTTGTGGAATCCACAAGCAAATGATAAGACATGTGTATAAAAAAAATTGGGCTGTTGCGGAATCCGCAACTGTAAACAAAATCCACAAGTTTTAATTGGAAACATCAAATTTTTTGCGAACTCCAGTTACATATGTCAAACCCCCAATTTCGATCTCCATTCCTGCCAACTTACACCCATTTTCGATCTCAATGGCGCTTGTTTCCAAATCCAACCCAAAGTTTTGCTCGCTGGGAAGTTTCCCAAATATTAAAAGGTGACGTCCGCCAATTTAGTTAACCCATGATTTGAAATTTGATCGTGGATTCCACTGACAATGGTTGAATATTTGCTTTTGATTTCCGCATTGCTAGATAGTAATTCCAGCTCTAGTTTTTAATTGTTCATATGCAAGAACTGGTTTAGTTCAGTATTAAACAAAATTGCGGAATCCATGTACATTTTGCGGAACAACTAGCTATATTCACTTGTTGCGGAAGCCAAGACAAAAACAAATTTGGATACAAGTTTTACGTTAAATGTATTTATACGCCAAGTCCACCGAAGTTTTGTAAGTGGAATCCACTTACATTTTGGACCATATTCAAAGGCTTGTCTCTGGAATCCAGGAAGATACAGCCACAAAATTACAGATAACTAAAAGAAAACTAAAAACCGATATACTTGTTTAATTGTACAGCGCATAAGGCCTTCCAAAAAGCGACATAAAAATAACAAAACAAAGTCTTTTTGATAGTTTATCCAGTTTTTCCAGCGTATCCAACTTAGCATCATAAATTTTGTTTAATTATTTTATTTTTCCGAAGTAATTGTTGTCCAAAATTTCCGTGGAAACAAACATTTCATTTTGTTAAGATATTAACTTGCTCTTTAAGTTTGTGAAAGTATGCAAACAATGTGATGAGTAAAACGTTAATTAACGAAGACGAACCCTATTGCGCCACTGGATAAGTGATCAGAAAGTTTTACTATTGAAATCCAAAATACTTGATGAAAGAAAAAACAGGGTTTGTTTCCAAATCTAAATTTCAAATTCAAAATGTTATAAGATCCAAATGGGTGGCTACTAGAATTCAGAGTTATTTTGACCGATAAACTATCAATTTTTATTAAAAAATAAAGGCTTTAAAAATTTTTTTTTTTCAATTTTCACCTCTTCCACTACTGTTGAAAAAAAACTTTCAGCACATCAACTCAAAAAACGAATAAAGGTTTTGACTCAAATTTGAGCACCGTGTGTGTAATAAATTTTGGAAATTTTTTAATGTCAGCGAAAGCATAAAATAAAGTTTCATTTGGACGAGGTGAAATTACCGGTAATCTCATCTCTACATTGAATATTGGGCCATTGCCATTTCATAAACCCGTGTAGGTGCGAGGTTTGACCTTTAGAACCAATTCGTAGCCCCGATTTCAGTCAATCCCGCTCAATTGGGCTTAATCTCACTTGGTTGCCGGAAGACTTGTTTCGTTTTCAGGCAAATCAAAAACAGGGTTTTTACAAATTCATGAGCGCAGCTTTTTATAAATGCTTGACAAAAAAATAGCGATCATTTAATTAATTTTAATTCTATTCGGCTATTTTTTGATACATCAATTTCGATATTTTAAATAAAAACTACTTTTAATTTGAATAAAATGAAGCATACTTATGAACCCAATTTTAGTTGAAGTAAGACCAAAATACAAGATGGAATCTGGAGCTGCGAACTACCTTGTTGAAGATATTCGAAAGAATGGACGAAAAAAAATTCTACTGATCGGGAAAACGGGATCAGGAAAGAGTTCGTTATGCAACGTGTTGACTGGTTTGCAGGACAATTCCGATGTCTTTAAGACCTCTCCTTTTGCTGCTGCCTGTACAGAGGGAACAAAATTTGCGAACATCTTTTTTAAAGGAAAGTAGTATGATGTCCTCCATAAAAACTCACCGGGGGCGAAGTAATAAGTTAGGGGGTGGGAACGACCGCCTTAGCAAGTTAAAACGGAAGTACAACAGATTTCATAACCGGTTAGAGCAAACGTATGTTCGCCATAATGAGGCACATGGGGGAACAAAATGTCATCAATAGCAGACTACGAGTATGACACCAGATTCACAACAAAACAACGTGGTAGGGCAGAAGCTATATCGTATCTCGGACCAACTTTCCCCACATGTATTTTAAAATATTGCACTCATGACAGTTCGCTCATATTTCTACACTGCTCGTTCCTAAAAACAATCTCGAGCAAAATTTAACTTGTAAAATTTGTTGAGCTTTTTCCCTTGTACGTGCTGACCAGGCAAGCAACTTGAGCAATGAACTGGCGAGGCTGGATTAATTCAGATTATGTTTGTTTTCAAACCAAAACACACCTCTCCCTTTCCACTTGTTTTCTCTCAACAACTCGACAAAATTCCTTGTATGAGTAGGAGTTTACTGATAAAAAAGACGTGAAATAATCAACCTGAATTCTAATCGCTCATGGTCTCCACTGGCGATATGTTAACATTAAGCTAAGTACGATGTTGTCCTTACTAGTCTGTACTCATAATCATAATATATATTTACACGTGATGTACAGAGGTTACGCATAGTCTCCACTACACTTCCCATACCATTGAATCTACATCAAAATAATAATTGTAAATAAGTTGATTGCGTCAAATGTAATCATATTCATAAAGTTCCATTCAACTACAGTTTTCAGTAACGCCTCCTTACCCTAGTCGATCAAGGGAGGTTATCTTGCAAGATCTTGCAAGAATCTTGCAAGATTCTTTTAAAGAGGATGCATCTCTTTAAAAGATCTTGCAAGATTCTTGCAAGATCTTGCAAGATAACCTCCTTTAAAGATAATCTTTTTTTTTGCAAGATCTTTAAAGATACAATTTTTTTGGGCAAAAACAGCTTTACACGCGAAGACAACCAAGTAGCGTTCGTGGAAGAAGGAAGCAATCTTAGCTACGCATACATACACACAGCCCGCTAGGCGGTTGCACCCAGAAAGCTTCTTTTTTTAAAACTTTTTTTGTGATAGGCGGCTATCTTCAAGTTTTGATCGACTAGTTATACCTTAATCTCTCAAAATAGGAAAAACACAATTTACATCAATTGAGAGCATAAATTTAAAGAAATAAAAACAAGTAAAGATTAAGCACAAGATGAACGCAAGTAAACATTAAAAAATAACACTGACGTTGTTGAAAAATCTCAACTTTCAAAACTCAAAGAAAAACATAGAAGCCCTTTAAGCTCTTTAAATTTCTAGAACAATTTATGATGGGCGCTTTTTTGATAACATGAACCCGACTTGAGAAAACTGGATCAATAAGTAAAGTTTTTATTCACTGGAAATCTAAAAAGTAAATTCCACTTTCAAAACTAGAAATCGATAGTCAAAAAAACTAAATATCCCCGGTTTGAACTAATTAAAGCAATTCGTCACAAAAATTTTTTGGCCAATAATCCTTCAATTTTCGCAAACCAGTAGCCGCAATAATTGCGAATAAATTAAAAAGATTTGATTGGTTGATACTTTTAATCTCATTGAATAAATTAACAACAAATATGCGACTACTTTTTAACGCATGATTTTTGTCTAATTTTATTCGTTAAGCATTTAGAAACATCTCGTTCAAGAAATTTTATTCGTTAAGCATCTCGTTCTAGAAACAATTTTTTTGATCTTACACCTAATTTCTGTTATTTTTTTTGTGTTTTTCGACAGAAATTTTGGGATGGTTATCTTGCAAGATTCTTGCAAGATTCTTGCAAGATAGCCTCCCTCTTTCAAGATTCTTGCAAGATAACCTCCATCTTGCAAGATCTTGCAAGATAACCTCCATCTTGCAAGATCTTGCAAGATAACCCTCTTTTGCAAGAATCTTGCAAGATCTTGCAAGATAACCTCCCTTGATCGACTAGGGTAGCCCCCATTTCATTCTTTCAGGTAAGTTTTAAAGTTAGTGTTCTCTATCATTAAAGTCTTTCCAGATCCTCGAGAATCTTTCGTCGGTCTTCCACCGTTACACTATCAGCCGATACTTCGTCCTCTATGTCCAGATCATCAGTGACCATTGCTCAGATCGATTGTGCGCTGATATTGCTCATATCCGCTTTCCTGTAAACATTGGTACTTTCTGATCCCGTCTAGCCATTGGTTCGCGTTCAACACTAGTCGTTGTTGTTATCGTCTCTACACCTGCTGCTTTGGGTGCAACCATTAAAATTATTCCCTACCCTAGTCGATCAAGGGAGGTTATCTTGCAAGATCTTGCAAGATAACCTCCTTTAAAGATAACCTTTTTTCTGCAAGATCTTTAAAGATACATTTTTTTGGGCAAAAACAGCTTTACACGCGAAGACAACCAAGTAGCGTTCGTGGAAGAAGGAAGCAACCTTAGCTACGCATACATACACACATCCCGCTCCTTTTGCTGCTGGCTGTACAGAGGGAACTAAATTTGCGAACATCTTTTCTAAAGGAAAGTAGTATGAGGTCCTCCATAAAAACTCACCGTGGCGAAGTAAAAAATTAGGGGTGGGAACGACCGCCATAGCAAGTTACACGGAAATACAACGGATTTCATAACCGATTAGAGCAAACGTATGTTCGCCATAATGAGGCAGGCGGGGCAACAAAATTTCATCAGTAGCAGACTACGAGTATGACACCAGATTCACAACAAAACAACGTGGTAGGGCAGAAGCTATATCGTATCTCGGACCAACTTTCCCCACATGTATTTTAAAATATTGCACTCATGACAGTTCGCTCATATTTCTACACTGCTCGTTCCTAAAAACAATCTCGAGCAAAATTTAACTTGTAAAATTTGTTGAGCTTTTTCCCTTGTACGTGCTGACCAGGCAAGCAACTTGAGCAATGAACTGGCGAGGCTGGATTAATTCAGATTATGTTTGTTTTCAAACCAAAACACACCTCTCCCTTTCCACTTGTTTTCTCTCAACAACTCGACAAAATTCCTTGTATGAGTAGGAGTTTACTGATAAAAAAGACGTGAAATAATCAACCTGAATTCTAATCGCTCATGGTCTCCACTGGCGATATGTTAACATTAAGCTAAGTACGATGTTGTCCTTGCTAGTCTGTACTCATAATCATAATATATATTTACACGTGATGTACAGAGGTTACGCATAGTCTCCACTACACTTCCCATACCATTGAATCTACATCAAAATAATAATTGTAAATAAGTTGATTGCGTCAAATGTAATCATATTCATAAAGTTCCATTCAACTACAGTTTTCAGTAACGCCTCCTTAGCCCCCATTTCATTCTTTCAGGTAAGTTTTAAAGTTAGTGTTCTCTATCATTAAAGTCTTTCCAGATCCTCGAGAATCTTTCGTCGGTCTTCCACCGTTACACTATCAGCCGATACTTCGTCCTCTTTGTCCAGATCATCAGTGACCATTGCTCAGATCGATTGTGCGCTGATATTGCTCATATCCGCTTTCCTGTAAACATTGGTACTTTCTGATCCCGTCTAGCCATTGGTTCGCGTTCAACACTAGTCGTTGTTGTTATCGTCTCTACACCTGCTGCTTTGGGTGCAACCATTAAAATTATTCCCTACCCTAGTCGATCAAGGGAGGTTATCTTGCAAGATCTTGCAAGATAACCTCCTTTAAAGATAACCTTTTTTCTGCAAGATCTTTAAAGATACATTTTTTTGGGCAAAAACAGCTTTACACGCGAAGACAACCAAGTAGCGTTCGTGGAAGAAGGAAGCAATCTTAGCTACGCATACATACACACATCCCGCTCCTTTTGCTGCTGGCTGTACAGAGGGAACTAAATTTGCGAACATCTTTTCTAAAGGAAAGTAGTATGAGGTCCTCCATAAAAACTCACCGTGGCGAAGTAAAAAATTAGGGGTGGGAACGACCGCCATAGCAAGTTACACGGAAATACAACGGATTTCATAACCGATTAGAGCAAACGTATGTTCGCCATAATGAGGCAGACGGGGCAACAAAATTTCATCAGTAGCAGACTACGAGTATGACAACAGATTCACAACAAACAACGTGGTAGGGCAGAAGCTATATCGTATCTCGGACCAACTTTCCCCACATGTATTTTAAAATATTGCACTCATGACAGTTCGCTCATATTTCTACACTGCTCGTTCCTAAAAACAATCTCGAGCAAAATTTAACTTGTAAAATTTGTTGAGCTTTTTCCCTTGTACGTGCTGACCAGGCAAGCAACTTGAGCAATGAACTGGCGAGGCTGGATTAATTCAGATTATGTTTGTTTTCAAACCAAAACACACCTCTCCCTTTCCACTTGTTTTCTCTCAACAACTCGACAAAATTCCTTGTATGAGTAGGAGTTTACTGATAAAAAAGACGTGAAATAATCAACCTGAATTCTAATCGCTCATGGTCTCCACTGGCGATATGTTAACATTAAGCTAAGTACGATGTTGTCCTTGCTAGTCTGTACTCATAATCATAATATATATTTACACGTGATGTACAGAGGTTACGCATAGTCTCCACTACACTTCCCATACCATTGAATCTACATCAAAATAATAATTGTAAATAAGTTGATTGCGTCAAATGTAATCATATTCATAAAGTTCCATTCAACTACAGTTTTCAGTAACGCCTCCTTAGCCCCCATTTCATTCTTTCAGGTAAGTTTTAAAGTTAGTGTTCTCTATCATTAAAGTCTTTCCAGATCCTCGAGAATCTTTCGTCGGTCTTCCACCGTTACACTATCAGCCGATACTTCGTCCTCTTTGTCCAGATCATCAGTGACCATTGCTCAGATCGATTGTGCGCTGATATTGCTCATATCCGCTTTCCTGTAAACATTGGTACTTTCTGATCCCGTCTAGCCATTGGTTCGCGTTCAACACTAGTCGTTGTTGTTATCGTCTCTACACCTGCTGCTTTGGGTGCAACCATTAAAATTATTCCCTACCCTAGTCGATCAAGGGAGGTTATCTTGCAAGATCTTGCAAGATAACCTCCTTTAAAGATAACGTTTTTTTGCAAGATCTTTAAAGATACATTTTTTGGCAAAAACAGCTTTACACGCAAAGACAACCAAGTAGCGTTCGTGGAAGAAGGAAGCAATCTTAGCTACGCATACATACACACACCCCGCTAGGCGGTTGCCC